CCAGTGTAACCTTGACGTGTGATGAAATCGGTGGATTTGGTGTGGACTCTCTCAGTTGTACAGGTACGAGTATTAAGGGGTATGTATAGTGGGTATCCTCTCGGATCCTTATGCAGATTGATTTGGTTAGACAGGTGTCTTCAGTTAAAACATTGCCTACTATAATACTTGATACTCATGATACGTTATTTGATCCTGTATAATACTGTTATACTTTATGATGAAATATTTTAGGATACTTCCCAGCAGGCATAGTTGCGTTGGATCAACGTTGAAAACAGGTTGATACGTTGAATTGCCGTTGATCTACCTAAATTCAAAGTTAAATCAACGTTGATCCAGCCACGTTGAATCAACGTTGTATTTTGGTCAATGACACAACGTTGCAGTTATGGATTGTAATTTAAAATATTAATTATTGAAAACGTGATACTTTGTTTATCAATACTAAATCAATACTAATGAAACTAAATTTATCAAAATAATAACAAAATGGTTTTAAAGTAAAAGTGACAGTTGTTTTGTGTCTTTAGTTAACTAGTGAATTTTCTTAACTTGTTATTCAGAAATACATTCCAATAAACTGAATTGCTTGCAAGGTCAGCTAACACTAGGATGAATAAGTTGCTGTAAATATGATGGTAGCCTGTTATAGATAGACAGGTTGAGGTGACTGTGATCTTGTTATATATATATATATATATAACATCTATATATATTAAACTAAATCTTGGAAATTTTAACTTAAAGGCCATACATTTATACCCTACATGTATTTAGCCGTCAAACATGTCCTACTGCTAAACACATCCAAGCAAATTTCCCGCTGGGTGGGGTTGATATAACATTGTTTTCTGACGTTGATACAGCGTTGTTATCTGAGGTTGACACAACTTTCAAATCCAACGTTTATTCAATGTCTTTTCAACGTTATGGTTCAACGTTGTTTTAACGTTAAAACAACATAATTTGCCCGCTGGGTTGTTACATTATGTCTAGCGTTTTTATATATACTTAAGAAATTAATTTAATATTTTAGTGCCAAATTCTAGTAAGAGAAAAAGGAACAATAAGTGATAACATTGTTGTTTTCAATTTTACCATTTAGGGACGTTGCTTGAAGCTGGTGCCAAGGCAGCCTTGGTGTCAGTGTCGGTGTTGGCGTTACTGGAGTGATAGTGCTGATATTACTTGTTGTAATAGTTGTTGTATTCATCAAATGTAGACGGTAAGTGGCATAGTACCATTAAAAATGTTGTTTTATTAATTTCTGTCAAACAAAGCGATAGAAGGTTTGTGTAGAATAAAAGGGAGATTGTTTATGACCTCTGTGAATGAAAATTTAACGTGTGATATATCATAGAAGTATAAATACTACATGTCACATGAACCATAATATACAAAAATTGTTGTTGGCTGATCTTGAGGATCCGATCTCGACTATCCCCGCCATGATGAATAAATTCATGAGTTCATAGATTTTGTTTTGAGCAATGTTTACACATTTCAAATTTTGATATTCCTCCGTCAACCTGTCGTTTTTCCTTCAACCCACTTGCTAACAATGGGTAAATGTGAGCTATTGTATTTCGTTTCCGTTCAGAAAACAGTGCCACGCCTCCCAGCCGTCCAAGGCCGTTGATGCAGATCACAGCGACAGCTCAGAGTTATACCAAAACAGTTTGAGTCCGCCAGACAGTGCAAATAGGGATCACGAGTATATGTCACTGGAGGCCAAAACTATGGCAACAGCTAGCCGCATGGCTGAGTATGTAAACGTTAATGACAGCGATTATACTGTTCTTCGCACTGCAGGAAACGAAACTAACGACAGGCATCCAACACCTGCTAACGCGGATCACTGGGACAGCTCAGAGTTATACCAAAACAATCTGAGCCCGCCAGACAGTGCTGATAGGGATCACGAGTATATGTCACTGGAGGCCAAAACAATGGCAACAGTGAACAACGTGGCTGAGTATGTTAACGTCAATGACAGCGCATATACTGCTCTTTGCATGTCAGCAAACAAAACTAATCAACGACATCCACCAGCTCCTGGAATAGGCATATATCAGAACGAAGTGTAACTCCTTAAAGCCTACTTGTGTGTGGCTTATGGTACTAGACTAGAGTGCGTCATATAACATGTCATTTTTTGCAGAATGTATGGCATAACACAGGGCTTGTAGAGATAACAGGTGTTATACCAGTGAGGCCTCCTGCGGTACCTAGTCCTGATCCCACGTGTACAGGATAGCCCTGTTCGAAAATTTGACCCTCTTACGCCACGCTAACCTTAACCTATATGTGAATGTGATGAAGGGCAAATTCTCTATGTTTCTGTATTTCTTCTTCTACTGACAATGAAATTGTGCTCATGGAACACAGAAATCTCACGTTTTTAATATTATGCTACCTGTATGATCAGTTGTAATATTATTTGCGGTTCATTATTGTGAAATGATTCATTTAATGAATCATTATTGTGAAATGATTCATTTCGTCTTTTGCTTTGAGTTTATATTATATTATTTTATCTTGTATAATATATTTTTCGGCTTTATTGTACTATAACGTGCGCCAGTAAAATATAACAATACTCAATCTTCACATTTGAATTAATGGTAATAGTTCACTCATTTATATTGTCATTTTTACTGTCTATTGTACAAAAATGTATAAGTCATCTACCGGTTCTGTATAATCAAGATGGAGTTTATTATCAAAATAAAACAGTTATGCCTATGACAAACTCACATTTAGCCACTTTTGCAATATCCCATGCATATGCTAACCTACATTTACAAAATTAATTCAAATTATAAAAAAAAGATGAGTGATATATAATTGTTCTACGTGTGTTAAGTACGACTGAGATCATGAAGGTGTCATTGAAATATCCAATGTCCAATTTGATAATAGTTTTGTATAATGATACATTCAGGAAATTAATGAAACTGTGCCGCAGAGTGATATACCTATACATGGATAGTGAAGGCTGGATGCTACATATATATATATATATATATATATATATATATATATATATATATATATATGGCGATGAAGAATCGAGTTCAATCTAAACGTGACAAATAATGTTAATGATATAATCTATTTACATACTTAAATTTTTTGTTTCTCGTATTGGGGTTACATCTTCATGTCACACTGGCATTTCATCCAAGGCAAAATAATCAATCAAGGGAGTGACAGACGCCTTAAAATCGCTATTCTACCAAATACGTGTATATTTAGGTTTATGTAACATTTTGAACAATTTTGTACAATTATTAAACATAAAAATACTGAAATATATACTTTGATTCTTAAAAAAAATAGTTGGTAGCATTGATAAACTTTTAAAAAGAGATATCAAACCCCAAAACACAAAAGACGAGCAACCGACTGTATATCATGATTAAGGGGGTAGGGGTAAATTTTGATGTGTAGGTGACCACCCTGAAGCCAAGGTACCTATTGTATTATACCAAAAGAAAGGTCAACAATAACGGTTTATTATTATTATTATTTGATGTATCAAACTTGCCACTCAGATGAAGCATATTCAGTTTGATATAATATAAAATATGTATCATCCCTAAACGATTTTGAGCAAAATAGGGGTCTTTTTCACGGTTTTATGAGCTCTGATGGCAAAACTGATTTTATATTGTTATTTATGGGTAAAAAATAGAGAAATGCAATTTTCTAAGCCTTTGGTAAATTAAGAGGGGCAAATGCCACGAAATACATGTAGGAAGCATGTTGCATGCTTTTTATTTCAATGTGAACTCGATTCCCATCCACCATGTACGTCTGTTGTCAATTAACACCAGCATCTGAGATGGTGTCAATATTTATATCTACTTAAGATACAATTCAAAATTGTGAAAAGTGAGAAGACGGCGTGAGCTCTGCCTGCTCTCAAATAAAAGTACCTGTAAAGAACATTAAGCTGTTACATTACAATCTGAACAAACAACAGTGCGGTATCTTCATATATTACAGTGCAGTGGCAACAGAGGTTGGTACCATTGTTATTCGTGTTTGGCTTTCCCCCTAAGCAGCTTTGTTGATAACACGGAGCTACACCGTGCGTCGTGTAAAATATAAAATGGGTCACTTCCTGGTTCACAAAACTCCACAGATACGCACCTAGGCCTCGCCACACTTTGACAAGTCTTATCTTTTTAAGGTCATTCAACAGAGAGAAATTCGGCTGTAGGAAAACTAGGGTTAGTATAATACCGTTACATGTACATGAACTATATTCAGTACATGTAAGGAGCAGAAAAGGGAAGATATTCCGAAAGCATTGATGTAGATTGATCAGGATTGAATCGTGTCTTTGATAGTCTATGAGCGCCTAGGCAGGTAAGTGTAAATGCTTTGTACAGTAAGTGACATGATCTATTAAGCCTGAACCGTATTTCTCTCAAATTTCACCGACGTTATAAGGCCTACAGTGTATGTAATTAGAACCGTAAGAAGACCGCGTCATTACGATTTGTCACCAACCTACCTGTGGCAGAAGGGCGACACAACGATTAGATTGATCTTCTCTGGTGAGACATCTTAATAACACGAGGCAGGGTGGAGATACCAGTACAACCTAGGTTTATAAATTTGAAAAACCCTTTTTACAGTGAGCGTTATATCTTGGACCCGTTTTCAAATAAGGCAGTATAAGGCCTGTGCAATTTAATATACAGGTTCTAAATTGTATTTACGGTACAGGTACGGGTTTGTTTTTTTACTCTCTTTCATCAGCCTACCCACGCTCGGCTGTCACCTTGATTGGATAGTAAACGGTTGTCGTAAAATCGCTAAATGATATTAAAACCCGGTGCATAAACTTGAAAACCACCTAGGACAACCTTAGACTGCCACATTAATCCAATACAACGCAAAAATAAACTATAACAAGTGGTTAAAGCCTTCAAACCGAATGTCGTAAAGTCCCCATATAGAGCGATCTCTCTAGGCGGCCTCGTTTTGGGCTCGCGCCATATTGGTAGACCGGAAAATGGCGTCGAGCACGATTAACATGAGGAGAGTTAGGGTGAAAGATACGAAGACAAACGCCGTTTCAAATCAGGAAAACAACTTTCACAGTTATAAGTTAAGTCTACCTGCACCAGAAAGGAAGAGGTATGAGGACAAGTTGGGCATTATAGACGGTAAAGACCCATATGAAACTACCACATGGTCAACAGATGCCGGGCTCCTTCCAGAAGTTACATACATGGACATTGTGAACTATTTACTTTTTACTACGAGCTATTATTCCCAAGAGCAATTGAAATGTTATAAAGGACTGGAAGCTTATAATCAGTTTGTGTGTGGTTGGGTTAGAGATGTCGGGAGTGTGGAAGTCGGAGGAAAAATTGTTACATCTGCCAAGGTACGTAGTGGTTTGACACATTTATTATGATCGAAATCACACAATTGTTATTTTTATGAGAAAATCTGCAAGTTGTATTGGTTCTACTGTATGAGCTAGTTTTGATATTGCTATATCTACAGGAAAGCTCTACGTCCTTTTTGTTAAACGAATTTAAATTTCATTTTGGAGTTGAACTGTTTGGTATGCTACTCAGTACCTGTTATGGTCCTTTGTTAGCACCTTATAATTATGACTTCCCACAAACCAGGTGGGAAGTTAATTATATGGTACTAACAAAGGGCCCTAACATCCAGTCTCAAAATGAAGTGATAAATAAAGAAAATAATAAGCAAAAGCCATTCAACACATCTGGCATTTTTTTTGTTTGGCTGCTTGTAACTTTCTTTTATAAGATCAATGTTATTCGAATATTATTTTAAAGGAACATTGCTATCTTGTTATGTAAAATTTTAACAGGTTACACAGTAATTTGCTTTAGTTATTACTTTGTTAAACAGTTTTAAAACTTTACATTAAAAGCATGAATGTAATGTTCTTGTACCTATAATACATATCTAAAAGTTTGTTTGAATGCATTTTTTCAAATGCTTGTATGTACCATGATTTTTGTTTCATTATTTTATTGTGAATTTTTTTTTTCATTTAGGTACTCCACTCCCAGCGGATGAACGAAAAGCCCCTTAGGCCATGGGTGATTGTTGAAAAAGATGGAAGAGTGGTTGCTGGCCATTGCACTTGCATGGCCGGCCTGGGAGAGGCCTGCACACATGTTGCATCACTTCTATTTTACATGGAAGCTTCTGTGAAAATTAGGAACTCCCTGACTGTCACTCAGGAAAAAGCCTATTGGAAACTACCAAAGCCTTTTGGGTCTGTTACGTATGACAAACTTAAGAACCTGGATTTCACATCAGCAACTAAAATGAAAAGAAGACTTGATGCCGTCATCACTGAAGACAGCCCTACAGCTCCTCTGCAGAAAAAACAAATAACAACTCCACCTTCAGACAGCAGATTGACAAATTTTTTTGCGAAATTAAGCCAAGGAACCTCCCGACCAGCAATATTATCAATAGTGCCAGAACACTCAGAACAGTTTAAACCAAATATCATGACTGGACAGTATCCTCTTGTTTTGACTGAACTCTACAACAAAGACACTAATGATATGAGTTATAGTGAAGTCCTCACGTTATGTGATGGAGTGAATATTTCTGTGACTAAAGCCCAAGCAGAAAAAGTGGAACATATGACAAAAGCACAGGCCCGCAGTAAACACTGGCAGCGTTTCCGTGCAGGCAGAGTGACAGCAAGCAACATGGGTGATGTTTGCCACACAAATCCAGCCAGCCCATCCGTCAGCCTCATCACAAATATCTGCTACCCCAACAGGAGATCTTTTTCTTCAGAAGCGACGACATGGGGGCGTTCCCAAGAGAGTGTTGCACTGGAAGCTTTTATGACACAGGAGTGTGGTGCCCACAGTGATGCCTACCTGACAGAGTGTGGTTTAATTATTTCCACAGAAAATCCACACATTGCAGCAACTCCAGACAGCCTTTTCCATTGCTCTTGTTGTGGTGTTGGTGTTGTCGAAGTGAAATGCCCTTATGTTAAAAAGGACTGTACTCCGCAAGAAGCGGCAGAGGACAGGTCTTTCTGTCTGAGGAAATGCGAGGATGGCACATTGCAGCTGAAGAAAAACCATAAGTTTTTTTACCAGGTGCAGACACAGATGGCAGTTGCCCAAGTTGAGTGTGCTTTTTTTGTGGTGTGGACAAAGAAAGGCATCCACGTAGAGAGGATATTGTTTGACACTGACTTTTGGAACAATATTTTAGCCAAAGCCAACCATGTCTTCCGCAAAGCTATCCTTCCAGAGCTTGTGGGCAAGTTTTTTACCAGAGGTCCCAGCAGTGTGCTCAGTGACGTCACCAACAAAGTGACTGATAAAGATGTATGGTGTTTTTGTAGGGATACTGAGCATGGAAATATGATTGGGTGCGATGCCAGTGACTGTGAAATAAGTTGGTTT